TTCAGAGCAATCCCATATCAAGGAAAGTGGCTGAATACAGAGACCAGTTATGACCTGGCTACTTGCTGGATCAGCATCATAGGTAGGCCACACAGTGCCATTCTCCCCACTGTGTGTTTGAGAAGGTTCTTAATGGAAAGTTTAAGGCAAAACAGACACTAGCCTCAGGAGTCAGACTGCCTGTCGATGACCAGCTTGGAAAACTTTGACAACAGCCTGTCTATATCATTATTCATCTTTCAAATGGGAATTACTACTAAACAACAATTACTTCTGTAGACATAGGCTGTATAAGAAGAAACCCTAAAACACAGTAACTTGATACAATGACCTATTTGTTTTGCTCATGAGTCCGAAATTTGGCTATGGCTTAGTGGGACAACCTACCCAGCACCCTCATCACTCTCTTCCTGGACAACTCAAAAGTAGCATCTGGAACCACCTGAGGATAGTTAGACCAGCTTCAAAGGAATTGCCAGTCAGAACAAGTGAACTCAATGTTGCCTGGTTTTCTCACCATATGGTAGCCTGATTTTTACAGGCATCTTCCTAGAAAGCTGAACCTTTCCTATGACCTAGCCTTGGAAGTCATGTGACATCACATCTGCTGCACTACATGGCCAGAGCAGTCACTGGCTCTGACAACACTGAAGGACAAATGTATTGATGGGAGTGGTTCTGGAAAAAATACTTCCAGACTTTTTAAAATTTTGGTTTGCTTTCTTTCTTTTATCTGTTCTACTTTGTTTTATTTTAGGTAGGATCTCATGTAGCCAAGGCTGACTTCAAAATTGTTTTGGAGCTGAGGATGATTTTGAATTCCTGATCCTCCTTGCCTCCACCTCCAAAGTGTTGGGTTTACAGGCATGTAGCACCACGTCTGGCTCCATAACTTTTATTTTAACTGCCAAAGTCATCTGGGGAATACACAGTTCACTGGGAGTGGCCCATGCTCAACCACAATCTCCACTTCTCAGGTACTCACTAATCACCCATGCTAATCATATATCCCAGCTTTGTCTCTAGGAGGGGAGCAACGGTCAGGGAGGCCTAACTCAGCTGGTCCTAGTGGGGTTTCAGGGGACTTTAAACAGCAGGTGGGTGTGTTTTCTCATTTTATAAACTAAAGAAAAGGATAACCTGCAGAGTCTAATCTTCAGGTTCAAAGACCACAGGCTACCTGGTGTTCACCAGAGCAGGGCAAGAAGCCTGAGTTTGGATTCTGGTTCTAGTTGGTTGAAGCTGTTTAGCCACTGTCCTTCTAGCCCATTCCTTACCAATGGCACTACCAAAGTCTATCCATCAGTTCCTACTTCTCTGCAGCCTTTTCAAATGTGAATAAACTCATCTTCTGTGGGTCTCTCCCTCCCCTCGTGGGTCGTTGGCCACTGATCCACGAGGACAAAGGGAGCAGAAGCGATGAATGGGTTCAGGACAGCCAGTGAGCACAAAGGCAAAAGACTTTCCGGGGAGGCAGATTCAGTGATACAGCTCTGTTTATCCACTGGGGGTCAGGGAAAATATAGTGTGGAGGCAGCAACCAACGCTTCAGCTGGTAGGTGCTCATAGTATGCTTTATTTACATGTGGTAGGGGGATCCTATCATCTGACTATAGGGCAATGCCTAATTATCATATAGAAAAAACCTGGGGGCAGTTTATTGCAGGAGTTTTATTGCAGGTAACCATGCCAAAAGTCATGTTCCAAATAAGGTCAGGCATCCGTGCTTGGTGGCACTTCCCAGGTAAGTCAGGCAGAGAGCAGGATGCCCCGGCTGAGAAAGGGAGTCCTTCCATATAGCGCCGAGCCCCTTAGAGCTATCCGGACATGGAGGACTACAACCCTAGCAGCAGGGTCCCCCAACAATCTTCCTTGATAGTTTGCTTTATTTTTGTAAAAGTGCAGAGGAAGGGTTTGGAATTGGGCCTTCTTATTTCTAGCCCTCACTATGCAACCTGGGAGAGATTGGTTACTCGGCCTCTTTGGCTCACTGGGAGGGGTGATGAGATACTATGTAATGCAGGCAGACCTGGTGCAGACTAGTGTTTGGAGAAGAGATTCCAACTGTGGGCTCTCAACATATCCAAGCCCTCTTTTTTTTCCCAGGTCGTTCTCCTCTAGGCCTCGCACTCTCAATGTATATAGATAGCATCAATCAGATCCACAATTCCAGGCTAGGCTGAGGGTACTGGTGGTGTTTTGGCTCCTTCAACCCTAGCCCCGCCTGGCGTCGCACGTAGTTGGCGCCACACAAATGCCTGGGGTTGCACAGAAGGGCAGAAGCCCCAGCAGCAGCTGAGTGCAGGAGCCTGACTGCAGTGGAAAGCTGCGGCCGGGTCGGTCCAGGGTCCGCAGGGGAGGGGCCGGCAGAGGGCGCTCGAGGAACAGGGCGGGGCCGCACCTGTGCTGCTGGCTGGGGGAAATGGGGAGGGGACCCGCGCCCGAAGCAGCTGCGCGCCCCGCCCCGCGGGCTCCTCCCCATCGCCGCGGCCCCCCGGCTGCTGCCCGGATGCGCTGCGTCCGGAGCCGGGCCGAATCGCCGCCACAGCTGTTGGGGCATCCGAGCCCGGTGCTGCCGCTATCGAGGTTGCTGCCTCCTCTGTCGCCACCGCCGCCTCCTGCACCCCTCCGGGACCCCACTGGCCGTATGGAGTCCCCGGAGGGCGCTGGTCCGGGAGGTGAGTCCGGACCCAGTGCCTGGAACCCCAGCAGCAAACCGTAGCCCCTTCCTCCGGCCCATTGACCCGCCGCTCCGAGGCCTGGAGACCCACGGGCGCCTCCAGAGCCTGCCCCGCACGCTCGGAGCTGGGCGGGGGAGGGGGACCGGGCCAGAGCCTCGGAAATGTGCGGGTACCCGGCTAGGGGAACACCGACTGTGTCTCTTTCCCCTGCTTCTCTGAGCTTCGGGTTCAGGAAGCTTTGAGAACCGCGCTCCTTGGTGGGTGGCCGCGGAGTTTAGTCCTGAGCCCCCTCCCAATCGAGGCTGTGAGCTGCGGTGGGCCGGAGTTTGGGGTCTGAAGCGGCGAAACGTAGGGGCGACGCTACCACCTTGTTCGCGGATCGGCTTTGTTCACCCCAGCGGCGACTCCAGAAACGAAAGACTAGAGGCCGCAAGAGGTTCGGGACTTGGGGCTGAGCTTGGGGTTTCGGTGAGGCTATGGCGCTTGCACCCGAGCCCGCAGGGCTGCAGGGCAGCAGTGTCCGTGCTGCCCACCTACCGTGCATTGTAGAGGGGAAGGTGTGCATGGGGTGTCGCCTCCTCACAGCCCCTGTCAGCTGCTGGGTACCCTCCAGGGTTGAGATCCTACCCCAGGTCTGCCCTCCTTGTAGTCTGACCCCAGACAGGTTGTGACTGATAAAGGGAGGAAAACTCTCAGAACCACCATCACCCCCATCCCACCCCCACGCCCCGCCCCCTTCCCTTAGATCCTTTTCCTGAAGGCTTTCCTGGGATCCACTGCCCTGGGAACTTGTATGTAAACTGAAAATCCTCTCCTTAAAGAGCCAGACTCTGTTGACATCTCCTGGATTTGAGGGATCCCAGCAGGTGTCTGGGGAATTAGCTTACTATTACGCTGCCCCCCTCCCCACTTCCCACTTCCCAGCCACACAGTGGCTTCCTCTGAACCACAAAAGGCTGTGCCCTGTGAGCTGTCCCCAAGCTGTCTCCTGTTTCTGCAGGAGGGTAGCAGTGTCCTGTCTGCGGACCTTTATCGCTCCTTTTAAGCACCATTCTCCAGCCAGTGGGATAATCCAAAGAACCTGAGTCTTCCCAGTAGTGCCTTTGTGGGTACCAGAAAGAAAAAGGTTTGGAGAATAAGGACTTGCTTTCTGAGCAGAGCTATTTCTGAGCTGTGAGATGTTGGCAAGCTGCCTGTGCCCCCCCCCCAACCTCCGTATGCACTGCTATCTGTGGAGGCCGCCCCTTCCTCTGCAGCATGGAGGGTGTACATGGTAAGATGCACAGAGTGGAGGCTTTTCTTTCCTCCTCTGGAGAAAGGAAGAACTTGCCCCAAATCTTAAGGAGACGAAGTGGATTGTTTCTGAATGCATCACTTACTGGCTTGGAGCCTCAGACACCTGATTCAGTGCACAATTTACCAGGTGCCTATTCTGTGCGGGTACTGTGTTCACATGTAGGGAGACATAAAGTAAAAGGGCTCATGCTCTTGGTAACTTTAGCACTGTTTTGTCTGCATCCTGGGCTGGTGATCTATATTTGGTGGGATTTCATAAGGCTTCATGTTGATGATTATGACTATCATATCTGAGTTACACTCTGTTTTGGAGATATAAAGCACATATCAAAGCACAGGTGGAGTTCTGTGTACCACCTCCCAGCCCCACAGGCAGGCTGGCTCATACAGACCATACCAACCTCCCTCCAGCTGTATTTTGAAGCAAATCTAGACACATTTCTAATTCAAAGTATCATTGAAATATAACTTTTGTACCTAAATGATTATCTCACTATGTAGCCCTGGCTGGTCTGGAACTCACTATGTAGACCAGATTGGCCTCAAACTCAGAGATCCACCTGCCTTTGCTTTCCAAGTTCTGGGATTAAAGGTGTGCATCACCATGCCCAGCTAATTAACTTCTTAATAATGTAGACAGACTATGGGGTTGAGGCATGTGCATGATAATGTAAAAGTTGCCCTCCTTGAGGGGGACCATCTAGGGCACCAGAACTCTGTCCCAATCTCTAAATTGGCCCCAGGGCCTATAGGGAGACAGAGAAGTCTGTGAGACTGAAACTAGATTTGAGGTCTCAACCTCTTTAAAATGCTGAACAAAGGGCCTGGATTCAGGACAGTGGTACTGAGGAAATGGGATCCTGTGTCCATCTCTCCCTCCTGGTGGCCATCTTGTTTACATTTATTTATTTACTTATTCATTTGTTCACTTGGACAGTGCTGTACATAGTAGCTGGGGCCTGGAAGCACATTATGGAACACAGGATTTGGGCCAAGTTTCCCAGTAACGAATGTGCTGGAAGTAGGTCAACAGCAAAGCATAGGTGGCAAGTTAGCCCTTAGGAAGCCTGATGGGCAGGAAACAGCACCTCAATGTCAGTCTCCACACACAGATTAAGGTAGCAGCAGCCCCAATAGAAGCAGTGTAGAGCCAGAGCCAAGGATCAGGACACTATGAAGCCCTTCCTAGAATATCAGAGAAACTCATTTGCCTCTACCTTGTCCAGGGTAACTCCAGAGGATCTGTGCCCATTCAGCTCTTGGCTCAGCCGGTCTGCCAACACCACTTGACCCTGCCCTGGCCTGCTTATCATGGTGGCTCTACTTCCTAAGTGGGTAAAGCAGCCCATCTTGCTAGTGAAGAATCTTCTTCCTCAAGAACTTGCTAAGAGGGTGCTGACAAACCTGGATGATTTCTCGGGGCAGTCATTTATTAACTTTGGGGCTTGAGATCTTTTAATACACACACACTTGGCACTCATTTTGTAACCTGCTATATATATGCTCTGGGGATATACCAATAAACTAGATAGGAGCTGCTCAGAGCTTGCCCTTCTAATAAATAAGCCCAGTCTTCTCTGGGGCTGAGCACAGGGTCTGGCATATTGTAGGTGTGCAACAAACGTTGGTGTATGGCCTTTCTCCCCCAGGTTTTCCCTATCAACATCAGCTGAGGGTTGATACCACCATGTTTTTGTTTCTATTAATGGCTATTTGGGTTTTTTAAAAAATTTTTCTGTATGAATGAGTGTTTTGCCTGCATGTATGTGAGTGTACCACATGTGTACAATGCCTGCAGAAGCCAGAAGAAAGTGTTGGATCCCCTGGAACTGGAGTTATAGATGATTGTTAGCCACCTTGTGGGTACTGGGAATCAGACCCAGGTCCTCTGGAAGAACAGCAATTGTTCTTTACCTCTGAGCCATCTCTCAAGCCCCAGAGGGCTATTTGTTATTGAGATATAATTCACATACGTTTTGAAAGATTACAACTCAGTGTTATTTCCAGAGTTGTGCCATCTTCACCATTATCTAATACTGGAATGATTTCATCACCTCCCCCCAAGTGTGTATTCATTCTCCACCCCCATTTCACTGTCCCTTGTAGTAATTTTCCATGTATTTGCCTAGTCTGGAAATTTCATATGATCAAATCATGTATGTGGCCTTTTGTTTTTGAGACATAGTCTCCCTGTAATCCCAGCTGGCCTAGAACTATGTAGACCAGGCTGGCCTCAATCTCACAGAGATCTGCCTGCCTCTGCCTCTGGAATACTGAGATTAAAGGCATGTAGTACCATGTCTAGTCAATATGTGGCCTTTTGTAACTAGCTTCATTTACTGCTGTTTTCAAAGTTCATCGTGAATAGCATGTGCCATTGTTCATCCTTTATATTGTTGGATAACACTCCATTGTTTGGATAACCCATGTTCAGTTTATCTGCACTTTAGGCTCTTGTGAGTTGCACTATTATGAACACTCACAGTCTCTGTATGAACAGTTTTCATTTTTCTTAGGTAGTACAGCAGTGTTAACTCTAGGCCTAATCTTTTAAGACACTAGACCTTTTACCATGGTGACTGTACCATCTTACATGCCAGAGTCAGTCTTGCCACTTCCTTGGATCTTGGGCTTCCACTGTCCTGGCATTTTGACTTGTTTCCATCAGGTTATTCCAACCAAAACAGTAATGGTTTTTTGTTTGTTTGTTTGTAGTGCTGGGGATGAAATCTAGGGCCTCAACCATGCTATCAAGTGCTCTGCTACTGACATACATCCCCAGGCCCCACTGGGTTTTTTGTTTTGTTTTTTGTTTTTACAGAGTCTTGCTATGTAGTCCAGGCTGGCTTCAAATTCATGATCCTCCTGCTACCATCTCTCACTGCTGGGATCACAGCTGTAGCCACCACACCAGCCTCAAGATTTGTTTGTTCACTTGTTTGTAGACAGGTCTCACCTAGCCCCTCTCCACTTCCCAAGTGCTAAGATTATAGGCATATACCATAAGATTCATGTTCTGAAGAGCAAAAATTATATCTTCCTCGGTTTTGTTTTTGGACAGGGTCTCCCTGTAGCCCCAGCTGACATGGAACTATGTAGACCAGGCTAGCCTCACAAAGATCCACCCACCTCTGCTGAGTTCTGGGATTAAAGGTGTGTGCCACAATGCCAGGCCCTCATTTTCCTTCCCTACATATTTTCTTGAGAACAAGGCACTAGGATTTATAGACTAAAGACTAGACCATAGCCAAAGAGATAGAAAAGAATCAAAACTAGATACGTTTGCCTTAAAATCTTTGGGGTACTGGAATTAAGAGATCAGTGTTGAAACACTTGCCTAACATACATGATGTCCTCAGTTTGAAGCTCAGCACCACACACACAAAAAGAGGTACTGCATCTCATCAACTCTTAAGATGTAAAAAAATATGTAAAGATGCCTTTTTTTAAACTATTTTATTATTTTTATGTGTATGAGCGTATTTTGCCTGCACGTATGTGAGTGCACCCGTGTCGTGCAATGCCGAGGAGGTCAGAAGAGGGCTTCGGATTCCCCTGGAATTGGAGTTAAGGACAGTTTGTAGCTGCCATGTGGGTGCTGGGAATCGAACCCGGATCCCCTGCAAGAGCAGTCAGTGCTCTTAACCACTGAGCCATCTCTCTAGCCCCGTGAAGATGCTTCTTATAGTCATTTCAAGAAGGCCATTATGTCTGGGAGCCTAGAACTTTGTATCAGGGGTGGAGGCTCCATGTAATCCTAGGATCTCTACTCAGTGCTGGTGTTACCAGCAGCCCTCCCCAGTGCAAGATAGGGATAGCACTTACTATTTGGCTGAGGTCCTGGATGCCCTGCCCCCTTCTCCACACACAAGACCTCAAAACATAAAGTGGAAACAGTACCAGCACATTTCTTCCCTTCCACCTAGACTTTGACCTCAATGACCTCATAAAAATATAAATGAACACTCAGTTCAGGACTCTTTGGTAGTTTCTTCCAGCTCATTCCGAGTAGAAATCATAGCCCAGAGAAGGTCTGCTTGTCCTGCACACAACGCTGCTAATGGCCCCCTGCCTCATCTATCCTTGTCTGCTTTCCTGGCCCCATTTCAATGCCCCCTGGCTGTGCCTCGATCCATGCTCCCTCTAGGTCCTTTGCATCAATTGTAGAAAGGGTGGGGATGCTCATTGACTCTCCAGAGCTACTTATCTTGCCTGGTGACATCCAGGCTAACAGCCCATCTTATGAGGGAGGGCAGGCTGGCCCAATATGCAGCTGTCAGCATGGGAGTCTGGGCCCTGGCTCCTCAGTTCAACCCTTGCTCATAGCAGCAGCTGCTCCTATCAAGTTCAGTATTCGTCACTGTGGGCTGTCAAAAATACTCCATGGGGCAATTGTACACCCAGCTCAGTACCTTCAGGTGGGGATCAGGAGACCCCAAGAAGGACCTAGGAACTAAAAAAGTAAGTTAGAGGGTCTGGAAAGGGGTCCCTGGGAACCAAGGTGATAGGTGGAAAGGACGGAAAGGCAGGTATTTTCTTCTCTAGGGAGATGGTGCCTCAGGGAATAGGCAGAAGGGGACACACCTGATTAGTTAGTAGGACCTCTAGCGTGGTACAAGGAATGACAAGGAGGCGACTGGGATGACATGAGGACATGGCAGTGGGTAAAGGGCAGCTGCTAAAGACTCTGAAGTATTCCCTGAGAGGAGCTGCCAAGATTGTGTATGGAGATACCCAAGAGTTCAGAACCATACCAGGTGATGGCTTCACACACTGGAAAGGCACCACTGGTGCTGATGTGGAACTTCAGAGCAGTCTTCGCCATAGCAGATCCTTGAGGGATTCCTGTCCTCTGACAGAAATGGATGATTGTTAAGCCAACATATGAATGCTGGGAATCAAACTTGGGTCCCCTACAAGAGCAGCAAGGACTCTTAACCACTAAGTCATCTCTCCAGCCACAAGCTGTTACACTGTTTAAAAAGAACATTCATCAAACTCTAAAATGGGGCTGGTGGTGAGGGATGGTGGGATGGCAGGGCTGCCACCTCCTACTTCATTTTCTTTCTTTTCCATTTGAATTCAACTACTACAAAGATTTTTAATAAGGAACTCAGTCCCCAGCAAAAAGATATGAACTCACAAGTGACTGTTCATTGAACCATAAGCAGACCAAAAATTAGACACACAGTATGGGGACAATGGAGCCTTGAGTTGGCAAATCTAATATGAAATTCCTACAGCAACGGCTACCTGGAGTTGGCAGTGTTGAGTGGTCTGTCTGTTCACTGTCAGATGTTCTTTGCCTGGTTACCCAGGGAGGTGGCCAAGACCTGAGAGGGAAAAGCAGCACCTCTACTCCTTTACCCGAGGCCCTGGAATTGGACCAGTCTGGAGACTCCTGATCACAAGACCCTTAGAGAGCTTGGCACACTAAGTTCTCACATCCCCCCACCAAGATCCCAGTCTGGGGGGATATGGGGTTTCCTGTGAGTGTGGAAGTGACACAGTGTCTTGTTGCAGAGATTATTAAGGAGGTCAAGGTGCCACAGGCTGCCCTGGGTGTTCCAGCTCATGGGACAGGAGATAGCTGCCATACACCTGTGGTAGAGGAAGAGGAGATTGGCATCCCAATACCAGCACCAGGGTTCCTGCAGGTCACAGAGAGGAGGCGTAAGTATCACTGACCAGCCTGGCAGCATATGTGGACCCTAATTTCATCAGGGGACAGAGTAGCCTGGGTGTGAAAGGTGGCAACACTGCCTGATGCTGAGCACAGAACTCTTGCAGTTGTGCCAAAACTGGAGGAGATGAGAAAACCCTCCAGTCTGGAGTATGCAGACTTAACAATCTGGGTTCTAGTTTTGCCTGGGTCTTGTCCTGTGCTGGCTTTATATAAAGTGCCAGTTCAGGGATGGCTGCATGGGTAGAGCACTTGATACACAAGCATAAGAACCTAAGTTTAAGCAATGTGGTGCATGCCTGTAAACCCAGCACTGGTGAGGCAGAAACAGAAGATACCCTTAGGACTTGTTATTCAGCCAGTCAAGCTAAATCGCTGAACTCCAGGTTCAATGAGAGTCCCCATTTTAAAAAATAAGGCAGAGAGCAATGGAGGAAGACACCCATTGACCTCTGGCATCCATACGCACACTTGAATGCACACATATCTGCATACTCACATGAGCATACACTTAAGATGTCAGTTCACCCATGGCCTGTGGGAAGAAGCTCCTGGGGCTCTGAGTGGTCTCATCAAGAGGGACTATACAATGACTGTGTCTTCCACACCCCCAGAGCCCCTGAGCAGTGTCTCCTCTCTGGAGGTCCACTTTGATCTCCTGGACCTCACTGAGCTGACCGACATGTCTGACCAGGAGCTGGCAGAGGTCTTTGCAGACTCTGACGACGAGAATCTTGCCAGTGAATCCCCAGCAGGTGAGGATGTCTACTGGCTTGAGGGAGAGAACACACATGAGAGGTGGGCTAGGGAAGCCCTAGGGCTTCTGTTCCCCAGATCCCTACTTTGGAAGAAAATTCACTCCAACTGTTTTGTTTTGTACTTATCACATCTACTTATTTGTATTTAGCATTACTATTTCCCCAATGATAAGTCAAGCTGTTATCCCTTGAATATATAACTTACTGAATGTGAATTTCAAGTAAAGCCAAGAACAGAGTGGGACACACTCACCAGCCTGGGCCCCTCTTCAGATCACTGACTTGGTTTCTCCACTGGCTCCCAAGGAAGAGATGCTGTCATCCTGAGTAGGGTTTATAGATAAGGCCTAGCCTCACCATCCTCCCCACCCCACCACCTGGCCCCCACGCCAGCAGGGCATGTTGGCTTTTTGTCTCAGACCCAATCCTGGTGGCCAGAACACAGTGTTCACCACCTCATGGGAAAAAAATTCTCCAATCTGTCTCCAGCTTTTAAAAACGACTTTGGTTTGACTTTCAGCTGTCCACTTTGGGCTGTGAGGTAGAAAAGCAAAGAGCTAAGAACCCATCCCCAACCCCTAGGTTAGAACATGCAGACATGGCCTGGGATCAGACCTACATACTAGGGGCCTCATGAAACTTAATCACCATCCTTCTTAAAGGTACCAGCCCCACTGAGGACTCTGCCAGCAGACCAGCTTTCACATGCTCCCCGAAGTTTGGTGGAGTACACTGTGTATCTCTGTGGAGCTATGGGCTCTGAGATATAACAGCAGCACAAAGGGGCACCTTGGCTCCACTTAATGGGTACTCTTGTCCCAGCTCTCTTCCAGGACAATTTGTCTGATCCTGGTGGCAGCCCTTCTTAGCTATCTTACCCTCAAGCAGGTATGTGCAGAGCCAGGACTAGCCTCTGACACCTTTGACTGGGCTCAAGGACCCAAGTTGTACAAAACCACTTGAAAAGTGGTGGAAGGGTGATCTTAAGACAGAGCCAGATTCACAAGGGAAATAAAGCAGATGGTCTTAAGACATAGGATGCAATGACTCCTAGGGACATCAGAAAAGTCCCTGCCCATCACATCAGAATCTCTGGTGTAGTGGCAGACCCCATATTAGAGGCATGTATGCACACCCAAGCACTACACTGACAGGAGACTGGTAGAGCTACAATGTGTAGCCTCAGCCTCCCACTTAACTGAGTTCTAAATTCCACTTTCTGTGTCCTCGCTAGGTCTACATCCACTGTCTCGGGCCGGCTGCTTACGCTCCCCATCCTGGACAAAAACAAGGGCTGAGCAGAACCGTGAGAAACAGTCCCCTAGTGACCCAGAGAGGCAGACTACAATTGTGGACACATTCCTCACCGTGGAGGGGCCAAAGGAGGACTAACCTGTCTCCATCTGTTCTGGAGTTGCTGAAGGGCTGGGCCAGATCACTGTGATGGAAAATCAGGACAGTCCTGGCACTAGAGATATACTCTACCAACCCCAAGACTTCAGCCATCACCTCCTGATACCAGGTCAGGGTCAGGGTGCCAGACACAGGCCTCTGGGTACCCCAGCACAAGCACAGCCCAGTGGCCTTAGGTCCAGCTGGCTCCTGGACCCCGAATCAGGGATGACATTGTGTGGAGTCACTACCTTGGGATAAAGCAAGGACTAGAGTGACAATGGTAGTCTGGGCCTTACAAAAATTTCTCTGTAGGAGAAGATTTCTTATCTGCCACAAGATTCCAAATAATTTGAAGTGAGAGGACCCAAGCCCATAAGAGCTACCCAGGAACCCCTAGAGGTCTTCCTCCACATGTCAATGAGCTCAAAAGCCAAAGGTGGATTTAGTGATGGCTCATGGAATGGCTCTGCTGTCCAGCCAAGTATGGGTATGTGGGTGTACCTCCCCAACATTTCCACCATGACTTAAATTTTATACCCTTCCTCTGCCCAGGGCAGGCACTGCTGGTTCCAGTGTCTCCTCCTCAGGCTTGCTTCTCCTAGTCTATGTGAAAGCCCAAAGGCTAAAGACTTGGCCCATGTCTTCCCTTAGCCCAGAACACCAAACCTCAGTAACAATTCCCCAGATTGCTTGGAAGGGCAAAGTTTACCCCTCCCCATCTTCTATCACAAGGGCATATACTGTGCCTGCCCTCCATATCCCACTGCCTAATTGCACCACCCACCACAGCCTGTCAAATGCTTGGTTGGGATGCTGTTCTGACCCTGTCTGTCCCAGGAGCAGTCAAAGGAAGGGCAGGGAAGGCAGGGCCAACCCAGCCACCCACTCTACTGTGGGATGTTGGGGCACTCCCAACACTACTTCCCATGTGCCCAAGGGCAGAATAGGCTGCTGCTCTGACCATAAATCAAAGACTGGTTTTGAAATCAAAGATTAGCCTGCTTTTTTAGTTTCCAGGCCTGCCCTGCTGCCCTCTAAAACAATTCTAGGGAAGGAAGACAGGCTTTTGACCTTATGACTGAACTGAAAAAAAAAAAAAATGCCCTGGGCTTCTGGGGCAGGGGTTGAGGATCCATGAGGCTCCTAATTTTGGAGCTACCCTCTGCCCTGTTGACCCCTGAAGGCAAATCTAAAACAAAACCCAACCCAGCAGCTGCTTTTCAGTCTCAAGGTAGCTGTGTGCCCTGGCCACACTCCCACATGCCAGGGTCTCACCCCTACTGTCCACCTTTCCTGCTGCAGCTTCCATGGAGCACATTTACAGAGAGATTAAAATATCACCATCTGAGGGCCTATGGTCTTTCTTTCTAGCTGACTGACACCAGGGTGCCACTGGGGCTCTGCTGTGGTGTTCTAGGCTGTGCTTATTTGAGCTACATTTTAGGGACAAGTGCCCTGGATTTCTAGTCCCAAAGTAATAGAACAAAAAGAACCACTAAGGAGTGACTCCTGCCAATTCCCCCAGCCAACAACAGTGACCAAGCTAAAGGAGCAGCTATTCCCTATCATGTGCTCTGCCCAGAAGCCACAGGGAAGCCCAAACCTCACTATATAAGCCCTTAAAATAAGATGAATATGGAGCCAGCCATGAGTGACCTCCTTTCTGCAGGCCCAGGTGCTCATGACTTTTCCACAGGGGCCTCAGGTCTTCCCTAGCTAGATCTACTGTAACAGGAAGCTGGTAGCCAGGTCTTCTAAAGCTAGGATACTGTGTGCATTTTGGGGGAAGGGTGTGGTTTCTCACACATTCTAAGCATCCCATTCCCCTTTCCCTTTACTCAGAGTCGGGGAAGCAGACAGGTGGAGGGCCTACCAGCCTTAGGTCTGACTAGAGAAGGACGGTTGGCTCATACCTCTAGTTGGCTGCTTTACCTGTAATTCTTGCAGTGAGATGTTTCCATGGAAGGTGAAGCAACACCAACATGGTATCACTTGCTCTGCTGTCTAGAGATACAATGCTATGACAACCCCACCCCCACCTAAGTCACATAAAATGTACAAGAAAATGGATTCTGGGGCTGAAGAGATGGCTTGGTGGTTAAGAGCAATGACTGCTTTTGCAAAGGACCTGGGTTTGCCAAGCTTTATCTATATAACACACAATAATTTGAAATACCAGATTGGCAGAACTAACCTTCTTGGGTATTTAACAGATGTACTTTGAGGTCTATAATAATTTGGTCAGAGGGACATAAAGGACACTTTTTGCTCCTAGCCCTCCTAGGTCAACTAGTTCCAGGGGACTGTGAGCATCTCTCAAAATGTCCTATAATGGTGGTGGGTCACCTGTCCTCTTGATCAAAGAGGCCGAGGAGACCCCACCAGATGGACTTGAACCAGTCTATAAAGAGGAGGGTCAACACAGAGGAATCATTTCCTCC